TTGCCGTTAACAATAAATTTAAAAAAAAATCCAGACGACATGCATCCAACGGATGTTAGATTTCATTGAAAAATACATCCCTACCCCCTACCCATAACGGATACAATAATACAGACATAATGAACACTCAGACACCCCTTGTCTTGTTGAAGTAGATTTATCTGTAAACTTGGAAACGTGAATTATGATTTTAGCTGTGTCTTTAAAACCCAGTAATTTTAAAAGTTACTCCAAAATTTGTTTGAGGATGAAATGGAACTAATGTTTTTAATTTAATTACACAATTAAATTTGAAGCTTTTAGCTTCAATTTTTGAAACATGGTTAGAACTGTGTAGCGAAAAAAAAACATATTTTAAATGAATAAATTTATAATATTAATGCTCTGTAAATTTACATTGAGCACTATTTTGTAAAAATAAAAATATCTATAAGAACACCGGATTATATATCTTACTGTTCTTTCTTTATATATATATATATATATATATATATATATATATATATATTTTATTGGATTGATGTGAGTTTGTCTGACGATCGCAAAAGCGTGAAACCCAGGTCACAAACTCACATCAATCCAACCAATGTTACTCTATCTCTGATATTGAGGCGCTTTCTAATAAGTACCAAGCATATAATATATAAATAATTATATATATATATATATGTATACATTTATATTTATATACACGCACTTTTCATACACGCACTTTTCACACACACACACACACACACACACACACACACACACACACACATATATATATATCTTTATTTATATACACACAATTTTTATATATATGTATATAAGTATATATATATATATATATTTACATTTATATACATACAATTTTCATATATATATATATATAAATATATGTATATATATATATATTTACATTTATATACACACAATTTTCATATATATATATATATATATATATATATATATATATATATATATATATATATATTATATTTTACCATTTTATATTCTATATACAACAATTACTTACGTTCTGTTGATACGTCAAATCAAAACCAACGCCCGTCTCTAACATCGCCACCCTATACTTGATAAAAATTTTCTTATCTCGAAGCTCCTCGAAAGAACGTAAAGAAAGCGTGTGGAAGAGAAGTCGAAAGAGATTTTCAAAAATATAAAATTAACAACAAAATGTATCAGATGACAGATTTCGTGTGACGGACAGTAAAGTTTTGCGAGCAGAAAATGTTGCAAATATTTACGTCTTCACTTGAGAGGTTGGCTTGTATTTCATTGGAAACAATTTAATTATTTAGTTTTGCCTTTGACAAAAATAAATAAGAAAACATTATACGAGGTTGTTGCTCATTTCATACACGTAATCCAAATCCATGTGGCAATGAATGCTGGGAAATCTCCCCAAATGAACGAGGAGAAAATTCGAGGCCGTGGCAATATGGTTCTTAAGAAAGATACGGAATATTTCATGGGCGGAGCGTGTAAGCAATATGAAAGCCTTAAAGAAAAATGGCGACAGGAAGGAGACCTTTTCCCAATATCAGGAAAAGGCAGCTGAAATTCCTTGTGTACATAATGAGGAAAGAGAACATGGAAAGCTTAAACCTCACAAGGTATTTCTTTTACAATGACGTTCACCCTGTAAAAGGCCTAGGAGCCACTCGAGGTAGACGGTTATTACAGAGCAAAAGACACTACCCCAAGCAAGGCAATAATGCCACCAAAACAGGAAACAATAGATAAGCCGCTACTCCTATTGAAAAGGAGAGGACATGAACCGGACGACAGGAATATAATCGAGATAAGAGGAGGCAGCGAGCCATTTGCCTGACGAGCTTGTATGAATGGATGGCGGAACCTGTGGTGAGAGCCTTACCAAAGTGAGAATATGTGTTAATACGTCAGTTGGAAGTTGTGGAGAGCCATGATCGTCTATGACCTGTCGGGATGGGGCGTATAGAAGAACATTCTGTAGCCAATTCATATTACTGAAGGAATGTTTAATTTTTACATGTGTAGCAAGGGATGCAGAAAAATTCTCAGTATGTAGATAGTGTAATAGGAATTTGTTTTCGTGTCTGTGTTTGGAAATTATCTCTGATCTTTGTTTCTGCAAAGATAATTATGTGCATTTCCTCTTTGAAAAGGTTAGTGGTATGTCCCGGAAAGGGATATATTTGAACGAAATAGCTAAGTGGTTTTGGCTACTATATCCAAGTAGAATACAGTAGCAGTAATCGACTGGTACGCGTCGTAGTCGCAGGTAAGAAGTGTAGATCAATGGCGTAGTCCAATGGGCGTCGTTATAGACTTAGCTCTCAGACTAAGGCTCTGACTTCTCCTGACTCTCCTACACGTCCGTCGATATTTATGACGGACACCAGCCAATCATATTCCAGTGAGGGAAAACATAGGTGCATGCATATTCCATTATATCAGTGAGCTTGTTATATTTGGTGTGTTTTGCTTTGTTTCTTTCATTTGCCATATATGCTTTGGGAGTGTTGTGCTGTTGTAAGTCATTAACAGCACAACCCTCCCAAAGCATATATAAATAAAAAAAAAAACAAAACACACCTCTGTATCATCGATCACCAACTTACAGCACCACTAACTCCCCTAAAGCACTAGCGGCACTAACAAGCATCAAGTAGTTCTGATTTCCTTGTCCACACTGTTTATATCTCTAAACGCTTTCTCCTCTCCCCCAATTCTCTCTTTCTCTCTCTGTCTTTTTGTCTGTCACACACACACACACACACACACACACACACATATATATATATATATATATATTTCAATGAATGTGATAGACAAGGTAAAATTCGTCCTGGGTAGGATGATAAACTACATCCAGCTGCAATGCCTCTGATCAAAAGTGTGTGAAACCACGTCTTAATTGCTGACCCGGAGGTGGTAGCACTTGTTAGGGCCCCAACTATGGAGAAAAAGGAAACACGCAAAAAAAAACAAAAAACAAACAAAACAAACAAAGCATTATGAAAGTATAAAAATATACCAACAATACATTTTTATATATAAAAAATATTACAAATATATCTTCATAGTAAAATTGCCAACAATACATGGTCATGGTAAAATTAGCAACAATACATCGTCATGGTAAAATTAGCAACAATACATCGTCATGGTAAAATTATCAACAATACATCGTCATTGTAAAATTAGCCACAATATATCTTCATGGTAAAATTAGCAACAATACATCATCATGGTAAAATTACCAACAATACATCTTCAGGGTAAAATTATCAAACAATACATCATCATGGTAAAATTCTCAACAATGCATCTTCATGGTAAAATTACCAACAATACATCTTTATGGTAAAATTAACAACAATATATCTTCATGTTAAAATTACCAACTATATACCTTCATGGTAAAATTAGCAACAATATATCTTCATGCTAAAATTAGCAACAATACATTTTCATTATAAAATTAGTAACGATACATCTCCGTGGTAAAATTAGCAGCAATACATCTTCATGTTAAAATTAGCAACAATATATCTTCATGGTAAAATTACCAACAATACATCTTCATAGTAAAGTTATCAACAATACATTTTATGGTGAAATTAACAACAATATATCTTCCTTGTAAAATTAGCAGCAATATATCTTCATTGTAAAATTCTCAACAATATATCTTCATTGTAAAATTAGCAACAATATATCTTTATGGTAAAATTAGCAACAAAACATCTTCATGGTAAAATTACCAACAATACATCTTCATGGTAAAATTAAGAACAATATATCTTCATGGTAAAATTACCAACAATATACCTTCATGGTAAAATTAGCCATAAAACTATCTTCAAATATTTAAATTTCGGAATTAAATAACCCATAGAGATTGATATGTCGCTAATCAAAATCAACAAATCAAATAACCACTATGAAAGAAATCTTATCGGAAATTAATCCATATAATATCCTACAATTTCTGTATTCCAAAACATAACATCAACAAAACATAAAACACACAAATAATATTTAATATTTATGTCCACACAAACGGAAATAAGCAAAAAAAAAAAAAAAAAAAAAGCTGAGTATCATCTACCATGTAATCAATTGTGAAAGCAGAATAACATATATAATATTTCTATGACATGAAATCTCCAAAGAAAATTACATGCCAGCATTAAATTATCTATAAATGTGTTGATACGCAGTTAAAGAAACTGAATATGACGATAAAGTACATTCGCCTCTGATCAGGAGATTGGAGCTTTTGAAGAGTGTGGAACCACTTCTTAATTACTGTTGTTTTCAGAGCCACCCTGACCCGAGGTGTTAGCCTATGTTAGGGCATTCCTGGGTATGATGATAAATTATATCCGGCAGCAAGTGCTCTGATCGTGAAACTTGATGTTTTGAAGAGTGTGGAACCACCTCTTAATTGCTGTTTTTTCCAGGTCTACCCTCACCCAATGTGCTAGCACCTGTTATGTAAGAAAAAAATACCTATTTATAGTAAAATTAGCAACAATACATATAACCAATAATACGTTTTATCTGCAGTTGAAGGAATTGAATTGCGTTCAAAATGTATTTAGGTGAAGCCATAAAAATATTCAAATTATTTACATATCGGCATTAAAACAAAACCCTAGAGATTGATATGCCGCTAAACAAAATCATCCAAATAACTGACAGGAAAGAACTCTTTTATGGCATTAATCCATATAATATCCTACAAATTTTTATATCAAACTGTATTTTAAAATATAACTTCAACAAAAGTACAACATAAAACGCACATATCACCTCGTCTAGTAATTGTGTCCATACAAATATGTAAATGCACAAAAGCTGAGTATCATCTACCATGTATTCTATTAAATGACCCACAAAGGTGTTGATATGCCGTTAAACAAATCAACCAAGCAACTAACATCAACCTTACGCTATTTGGAATAGCCATAACGTGTTGGCGGTCTTTTAAAAGACACCCCGACATGGAATCAGAATCACATTTCTTACAGCTCAGCTTAGAATTTATATTTCCACACAGTAAAACATAAAAATTGACAAAGAAATCCTTGAAAATGTTTAAAAATGGTTGAAAAAATGGTAGAAAAAATGGTAGAAAATTGTCTGATAATGTTTGGTGCAATATTTATTGCAGACAGTTAGTATGTATTCAACTCGAGTTAACATGCACTCACACACTTGAGACAATTATGATACTCACAAACAGTTACTATTCATTCACTTACTTGAGTATTGCAGACAGATACCGTGCACTCACCTGAACTAATTGATTATCTTTTTCGGTCACTTAATTACGTCAAAAAGAAAGACTGTAGGAATTTTTTTTTCTTTCTTTCTTTCTTTCTTTCTTTCTTAAGCCCATTTTTTCTTTCTCTCTTTCTTTCCTTCTTTCTTTAGTACTTTCTTTTTTTCTTCAGTTCTTTCTTTCTTTTCTTTTTTCTTTTTTCATCAATTACTTCTTTCTTCACTTCTTTCTTTCTTTCTTAAGTTCTTTTCTTTCTTTCATTCTTTCTTTCTTTCTTTTTTCTTTCTTTTTTAGCCCTTTCTTTCTTTCTTTCTTTCTTTCTTAATTTCTTTATTTAGCCCTTTCTTTCTTTCTTTAGCCCTTTCTTTCTTTCATTCTTTCTTTCTTTCATTCTTTCTTTCTTCAGTTCTTTCTTTCATTCTTTCTTTCTTTCTTTAGCCCTTTCTTTCTTTCATTTTTTCTTACTTTCTTTCTTTCTTTCTTTAGCCCTTTCTTTTTTTCTTCAGTTCTTTCTTTCTTTTCATTCTTACTTCACTTCTTTCTTTCTTTCTTTCTTTCTTTCTTTCTTTCTTTCTTTAGTCCTTTCTTTCTTTAGTCCTTTCTTTCTTTCGTTTTATGCATAATGCCTGCTTCTGCGATTCGTGCTTCATGAGTCATTGTCAATTCATTATTTATTGGCAGAATAATTTCCGCAGTAGGCTGGTTGTCAACCAAGGCTATCGGACGAAATCAGTCAGGTTATTTAACTCATTGCTGGACGGGGAGAACAGATGTAATTTGGTCATTTCCTTAGAATATTTGCATGTAAGTGAATGCAATTTAATCGACTTGAATTCGAACAGTGCGTATAAAGAAAAAAAAACTTAATAAAACATGCATAAAAGAAGGGTTGTCGGCCAAATATAACATATATGCACACCTGTTATATTTGTTACATTTTAATGAGCAAAAAGAAAATATTGAAGAAGAATAAATTTTCCGCCTATTTGTATGATACTTATTTTTTTCGGGTAACATTACTAGGTTGAAATTTCTTGGGCACACAAAGAGGAAAGAAGGCTTAGAAAATTTGACGCTCACATGAAATATTAAAAGCAAGAGAGAGGAAAACAGCGTGTAACCTAATGAATGGATGGCAGAACAGGGATTAGAATAAATAGCAAAAAGACGAATTAAGCATTAAATAGGAGAGGAAAATGTGGAGAGCCATGATCGCCAACGTCCTGAAAGGACACGGCACATAGATGAAGAAGAATGATCTTGAGTAAATGGATGGCGGAACAAGGTTTAGGAGAAATAACAAAAAGATAACATTTATTAAGTGCTAAAAGGACAGGAAATTGTGGAGAGCCATGATCACCAATGACCTGAAGGGACACGGCACATAAAAGAAGAAGAATGATCTTGAGTAAATGGATGGCTGAACAAGGTTTAGGAGAGATAAAGAAAAGAGAAAATTTATTAAGAGTAACAAAGTAGAGGAAATTGTGGAGAGCCATGATCGTCAACGTCCTGAAGGGACACAGCTGATAGAAGAAGAAGAAGAAGAAGCAGGCGCCTATATAAATGCTTAGAAGAACAAGTATTAGGAGAGATAGCAAAAAGACATAATTTACTAAGTGTTACAAAGGAAAGGAAGTTGTGGAGAGCCATGGTCACCCACGCCCTGAAGGGTTTCGGCACATAGAAGAGGAATAAGAAGGAGATTGTATAAATAGTTAGCAGGACAGGGTTTATGAGAGATAGCGAAAAAATAACATTTGGTAAGTGCTGAAAAGTACAGGAAATTGTGGAGAGCTGTGATCATCAACGTCCTGAACGGTCACGGCACATGGAAAAAAAGTTGACAAACTGGACAGAAAAAAGAAATGACACTTTGATCCTGAAGTGACTTACAACTGTATTTTTAGGGTTTTTTCTTTTTTAATCTTGTAATATGAGGTTGAGTAAAAACATCACTGGTCTTTATTCATGAAACTTGACACAAATTAGACTCAAATGCATTTCCCATTTTGTTTTTTGACACAAAAATGTTTTAAAAAATCAATACTGGGGAGAAGGGAAAAATCAACATACAAAAAAAAAAAAAAAAAAAAAATGCAAGAAAAATTTGAACGATTTTTGAAGATAAAATGGAAAAGGGAGATTTTATAAGATGACGTCACAGTTAATTAACATATTTTGTGTTATTTCAAAAGGTCAAAGGTCTGCAAACTTTCCTCCAATATTTGAAGGCAAACAGACATGATTAAAAGCTGATATATTTATGAGGGGAAGATTGCACAAGATTTTAGGGTTTGGACAAAGGAATCAATAATGCATAGTGACATGGTAAGTTCCAGGCCAGGCTTTAAGTGATCTATCTATCTATCTATCTATCTATCTATCTCAGTCTGGTCATCTATCTATCTTTCTGTCTCCCCACCTATCTCTCTCTCTCTCTCTCTCTCTCTCTCTCTTTATATATATATATATATATATATATATATATATATATATATATATATATATATCAGTCTCTTCACCTTTCTCTCTATCTATCTATCTTATCTCAGTCTGGTCATCTATCTGTCTTTCTGTCTCCCCAGCCCTCTCTCTCTCTCTCTCTCTCTCTATATATATATATATATATATCAGTCTCTTCACCTTTCTATCTATCTATCTATCTTATCTCAGTCTGGTCATCTATCTATCTTTCTGTCTGCCCTCTCTCTCTCTCTCTCTCTCTCTCTCTATATATATATATATATATATATATATATATATATATATATCAGTCTCTTCACCTTTCTCTCTATCTATCTATCTTATCTCAGTCTGGTCATCTATCTATCTTTCTGTCTCCCCAGCTCTCTCTCTCTCTCTCTCTCTCTCTCTCTCTATATATATATATATATATATATATATATATATATATATATATATATCAGTCACTTCACTTTTCTATCTATCTATCTATGACCATTGCTGACAAATTTGGTCAATGTCTATGTTTAACACACCAAAACAACCGCCAATGAAAATCGCTGCAAGCTTTTCAGTTAACTGCAATTTTGCCTGATGAAGTACTAAAGAACGAAACGCGCCATAAATTCATATATATATATATATATATATATATATATATATATATATATAGATATAGATAGATAGATAGATAGATAGAGATATATACAAATATTTTTGGCATTTAAAAGAAATAAATAAAACACCAAAAGTAAAATGAAAAATAATAAATAGAACAAGAACTTGTAAAACCTGGGATGACCCATGCCCTTTATGCCTACATGAAAAACTACATATCATTAAGTTTCTTTCTTTTGACCCCTTTCCGAAGGTGACTGATATCTTTATACAAACTAACTCGTATGCGCCTTGTCAAAATGGTCGTTTCCATTGTAATTAATTTTGCGAAGGAACATGCTTATAAAGATGCGTAAATTTCAAGATTGGTCATTCCTAAATTTTCGCTTGAGGATGAAACAGGGCTTGATACTTTAATTCAATTTAATTTCAATAATTATATTGAGGTTTTTGGCTCTTGTTTTTTGAAACATGAGGACTCTTATGTAGCGAAGGAATCATATTTAAAAAAATAATTACAAGTATAGCTGTACTTCTGTATGGAGCACTGTTTTTTAAAAATAAAAACAAAAATACTAAAGAACCCCGGATTATTTACCTAACGTGTTCTTTCCTATTTTTCTATTTACACACACACACACACACACACACACACACACACACACACACACACACACACATATATATATATATATATATATATATATATATTAAGGCATTAGAAACAAAGAAATTTTATATTGTAGGCCATGATAGATTTAAAACAAAACATACACCAGTCGACCGGTTTCGTCCCCTCTCATCAGAACTGTTAACGGCGAAATAAAATTATGAGGAAAAGAAAAAGAAAAAGTCTACTCAGTCGTAATTGTCCTAGCGAGACAAACTTGCTAACAATTGCACCACGTCGAGGTGACCAAAGGGCGATTTCCTAAGCGCAGCTTAGATGTGGCACAAGGCCGAAATTATGGAGTACTCATTGAAGAGAGATCTAGCGAGACAAGCTTGCTAAACATTACACAAAAGGCCCGAAATGCGATTTGCAGGTCGGGAACGCTAGAATCAAACAGACGCAGAAGTTTAAATACCTGGGAACTGTCTTGACAAAGGACGGTAAGTGCAACACTGAGATCCGTAGACGTATTGGGATGGCAAAGGACACATTCTAAAAGCTGGGCAGAGTATTGCAAGACAGAAGGATTTCTTTGGTAATAAAGAAAAGAATACTGAGCTGTTACGTGATATCTGTTCTTCCTTACGAAGAAGAGGCTCGAAGCGACGCAGGTGGTTCTACAGAAGGATGCTGAGGATATAATGGACCGAGCATGTGAGCATCGATGAGGTCTTAGATTGATTACAAATAAGGAGAAGACTTATACTTAATATCAGAAAGAGGTAGGTGAAGTTTCTGGGACACATAATGAGGAAGGAGGGCCTGGAGAATCTGATACTCACAGTTCGAGTAGAGGGAAAGAGAGACAAGGGAAATCAGCGCGTGACATACCTGACGAGCTTGAGCAGGTGGATGACAGAATGTGATCTAGGGGAGGAAGCAGACGGAAGGAACTTGCAAGGAAGAGAGGGAGGTGGAGAGCCATAATCGCCTACGTCCTAAAAGGACATGGCACATAAAAAGATGTTTTATACCAGACAAAAGGCCAAATGTTTGGAGTACCCAGTGCGATTCGAACTCACTACTCAGTCGTAATTGATACAGCGAGACAAACTTGATAACAATTACACCACATCGAAGTGTCCATACTCAAAGAATAGATGCTTTTCTAAGCGTAGTTTAGGTGTGGTACAAGGCCGGAAGTTTGGAGCACCCAGTGAAGGTCGAACTCATTACTCAGTCGTAATAGATCTAGCGAGACAAGCTTTCTGCTAACCATTACACAAAAAGGATTTTCTAAGCGTAGCTTAGATGTGGCACAAGGCCGAATGTATGGAGCACCTAGTGTAGTTCAAACTCAATACTTAGTCGTAATATAGTGATTTGCCAAGCCTAGCTCAGATGTGACACAAGGCCGAAAGTATGGGGCACCCAGTGAGGATCGAACTCACTTTTCAGTACTAACTGATCTAGCATGACAAGCTTGCTAACTATTACACCGCCTCGAGGTGCCTGAAATTTTCCAAGCGTAGCTTAGATGTGGCACAAGGCCGAAAATATGGGGCATCCAGTAAGGATCGAACTCACTTTTCAGTAGTAACTGATCTAGCAAGACAAGCTTGCTAACCACTACACCGCGCCGAGGTGCCCAATGATTTTCTAAGCGTAGCTTAGATGTGGCACAAGGGCGAAAGTATTAGGCACCCAGTGAGAATCGAACTCACTACTCACTCGAAATTGATCTGGCAAGACAAGTTTGCTAACCATTACACCACGTCAAGGTGCCCAAACGATTTTCTAAGCACAGCTTGGATGTGTCGCAAGGCCGAAAGTATGGGGCACCCAGTGAGGATCGAATTCACTAATCAGTCGTAATTGTTCTAGTAAAACGAGCTTGTTAACCATTACATCACCTGAAGGTGCCCTGCTTACTCGTAATATGTCTAGCGAGACAAGCTTGCTAACCACTATACAACGTTGAAGAAAAAAAGCAGAGTCGCAAAATGAATGCGTTTAAGTATGAGGGTCGTAAGTTTAAATTCAAGTGGAGACATTTTTTTTTAACTTCTGACCCGTTTATTTAACGACTTAACCGATAGGAGAGCAACGATTTGACTGAAATGTATCAAAAATTTATAATTATTAAGAGTGTAATTCGGGAGAATGGAATTTTTTTTTTTTTTTGCGTAGGCTAGTCTTCCCCATTTAGCAGAGTTGCGAAACCGGATCTTGTAAACATTCTGGGAGGGGAGAACGTATTAAACATTCTGCAGTTTTCATGTTTAATTAAAATGGATGGAAATTTTTGGAAAAAAAAACAAAACAAATTGGAGAGTGTTAGGAGAGTGTTGTTAAAAGAACTGGGAAAATAAATAAACAATGCTAAAACGAAAGAAAGACAAAATAAATAAAAGGTGGAAGCAAGAAAGACAATATTGACTGGAAGGAAAGTCGTAAGAATAATGAGACGTTATGTGACTCTTATTTTCTCCGTCCTCGGGAAAAAAAAAAATTGAAAAAATAAAAATAAAAAAAAAGCAATCAAAATTAGAAGCAAAAAGAATTTTAAACAACGACAAAAAACCCCCAAAAACAGACTTTTCTAGAAATCTTGGAAAACAGAACAGGAAAATAGAAACCTTTTAAAGAAAACATGAAAACGTTCGTTGACATTTAAATAAAAAAAAATCAGCCTTTTCAGGTTAAAACAAAAATCTGTCGCCATGTTGGTCTTCAGTAAGGACAATACTAAAGACGTGTGCTTGACTCTCCCTGAAAGGATTATCAATGATGTGCAAAAATTCACAACTAACTCTTGTTTTTAAAACGAGAAACTGAATCATTCACCTCTTCCTCATACGATAAAGAAGGATCTGCAGTATAATAGATCCTGACCTGGCATCTCGATTTCAGTCACTTTCTCACCGATGTAAAATGGCTTCTCACTTTTCTATAACTATTTTCATGGAAACCGCTCTGATGAGCTTTTTTTTTTTTACCCTGGTGTCACGACTACGTGAATTTAAGCGACCTACTAGATTGGCATCTAGGTCCATTCGTTTACAGCTGACATAGCTAAATGCAACCCCCACTTCTACCCCAACAGATTCTTTTCTCGCACTTCTCGTCTGTGCACCTCCTTTCCGATCTTTTGCTTCCCCGATAACTACAATCTTCAAAAATTTAAATGCAATGTCAATCGCTGGCTTCTACTTTCTTGAATCCCGTTCATCTTTTTCCCTTTCTTCAATCCTGCCTATACTCAGTCTTGTCTTTCATTTTCACACCCTGTAACCCCCTGCATACTAGTGGCATTCCTGTTCATCTTTTGTCCTTAATCCTCCCTATACTCAGTCTTCTCTTTCATTCACTTTGACCCCTGTCACCCACTGCCTACTAAGACCCCCCCCAGCTTGGGGTGAAATGATTTAAAAATATATGCCTGTAGAAGGTCATATCTATGGCTGCAGATATTGGACAATCTCATCACAGACGATGAGAAATCTGGAGGTAGCAGAAATGTCGTTCTAAAAATTTAAATACAATGTCAATCGCCATCTATATTCTTGAACCCTGTTCAGCTTTTATCCCTTTCATAATCTCCCTGTACATAGTCATTCAATCTATGAACCCCAATGCGTACTAGTGGCATTCACACCCTGCTTGGGATGAAATGATACAAAAATAGTGTGGCAAATAAAGAGTTTTTCGTGAAACCTTGGATTTGCGCCCAAAGAGTTATGCTTCGGCTGCTGATGGTGGTGTAGCATCTGTTATGGTTGTACAGGCCTACATGGGAGTGAAAGTCTCGATTGAAATGAATGCATGTGAAGACCCCCTGCCTCAATTTGGACCTGCTGATTCCTTTCTGTCCAGCATGCTTCACACCGGCGGCAAACCCCCGTTCATCTTCTCACTCCAGCCTTCGGTGTAAAGCGTGAGCGTTCGTTGGCGACATCTTCCCGCCTCTCGAAGTCTATGTCCATCGACCTCATGCCCCTTTTGCAGACGTCCTTGAAGCGAAAATGATGTCGTCCTCTTGCCGGTGGCCAATTCACCGTACAGAATGATCTTCGGAATCCTCTCATCCGACCATCTCCCATCCAAGCCAACAGAGCCAGCATATAGGCTGGGTAACTGGGCGGGGGTGAGAATTACGACATTGGTGACCCCGTCGAACCAACTGATGTCCAGAATGGCTATTAATATTTTTGGGATTGGTCTTTTTAAGAACTGCTTCGGGTCTTATAATAAGAGAGGCCATAAATGTAGAGTATATACGACTCCCGTCGGTGTCGAGTGACCTCCTGGATTTGGGTCCAAAGGGTTATGCCTCAGCTGTTGATGGAGGCGCAGCATCTGTTATATCTGTACAGGCCAACACAGGAGTGAAAGTCTCATTTGCAACGAATGTATGTGAAGACGCTCTGTCCCAATGTCGCCCTGTTGTTTTCCTTTCTCTTCAGCGCGCTTCGCCCCGGCGGCAAACCTCCGTTCCTCTTCTCCTCGGTGTAGTCCTCGGTGTAGATCGCATCTCCAGCGTGAGCGATCGATGGCAACGTCTTCCCGCTTCTAGATGTCCATGACTATCGACCTCATGTCCCTTTTGTAGACGTCCTTGAAGCGAAGATGAGGTCACATTCGTGGCCTCATGCCGGTGGCCAATTCCCTGTACAGAAGATAAAAAAGCAAGAAAAATGATACGATGTCTATTTAGAAAACACTTCTATTTCTACGACCATTAAACAAGGAGAATGGATCGGAAATAAAACGACCTGAACGTCGGAATCTATCTTGCACATTTACAAATCTACCATGCATCCGTGTATTGAATACTGTTGCCATATCTAGTCTGTGGCTCCTACTATCCATCTCGAGATTCTTGACAAAATCCAGAGAAGGGTCTGGAATAGAGTCGACCCTTACCCGACATCTCATCCCCAGTAAATTCGAATGAAAAATATTTTCAAGCAGGTTTTAGAGGGGGGATTTGCCTGTCCATAATGCTAAATTAAAGAAGGTAAATGAAAATATAAAGCGCAAACTGTATATATATATATATATATATAGTGATCTTCAAATTTGCGCCCATAAAATTTTTAAAGGAAATCCCAATTATATAAGTCGACTCCATTGCATGCTACGCACATTCCATGAATTCTAATGAAAAATATTTTTAAGCAGGTTTTAGAGGTGTGATTTCCCTGTCCATAATGCGAAATTAAAGAAGGTAAATGAAAATATGAAACACAAACAGAAGAGAAATATACATTGATCACCCATTTTGCGCCTAGAAAGATTTTCAAAAAATCCCAATTATATGAGTCGACTCTGTTGCCCGCTACGATCACTCCATAACTTCAAATGAAAAATATTTCTAAGCAGGTTTTACAGTAGGGATTTGCCTGTCCATAATGCTAAATTAAAGAAGGTAAATATTAAGTAGAAACAGAAGAGATATATTTCAAGTATTCCAAATTATATGAGTTGACTTCGTTGCATGCTACGCGCACTTCATAAATTCGAATGAAAAATATTTTTAAGCAGGTTTTAAAGGAGGGATTTGCTTGTCCATAATGCTAAATTGAAGAAGGTAAATGTAAATATAAAGCACAAACAGAAGAGAAATATACAGTGATGTGGCTACCCTTTGTCTTTTCTACAAATATTTTCATGACAACTGTTTGAATGTGCTTTTTTTCCTGGATCCCTAACTCAGCGTGAAACTAGATTGGCAATTAGGTCTCACCATTTTACTGTAGAACTAGGTAGATGAAACCATTGCTTCTACTCTTAAAATGTAGTTTTTATCACACAAAACTTAGTGAGGCGTGAGCAAATTTTTATTCAAAAAAGCGGCCCAGATAAAAAAAAAATAATTGTGAAACACTGTTTTAAGGCAATGTTTGTTAAAATAAAATAGATATGATCAAATTAACCGATCCCATAGACTGATATTATTATTGTGATATTTTTGCATTGTATAGTCCACAAATTGGACGAGAGAGTTATCAATGATAATGTGTTGACTATGAATCTGTGGTTATCTCCGTTTAATCCACTCTCTGTAATTAATTTTTAAAGTTACTTGGTGAGGCATGACCAAATTATCATTCCGAAAATGCTGCCCAGAGAAAAAAAAACACTGTTTTGTGTAGGAGAAGGACTAGTCTGAATTCATATCTTAAGGAAAGGCAACGGAAATCCACTTCAGTATCTTTCCAAAGAAGACATGACTATTTAAAGATAATAAAGGGTCTATGGAGAGACTGCCTACACATCGAATGGAAAGGCTTTTTTTTTTTTTTCAAATCACTTATAGTTATGGGCTAAAAGCAGGGCGGAGTGGGCTCTTTTTTTTCATTTTACCATCAAGGTTGGTTCAATGTGTCGTGCCCCCAGATTTTTCGCACCAGAATCCGCCTTGCTCATAAATAAACCTACTATTTTCTGTGCATTGAATACCATATCTGGTCTGGTGCTTCTACTATGCATTTCGTAATTCTTGATAAAATTCAGAGAAGAGTTTGCAAAACAATTGTCCCTGACGTTTTCAGCTGAGCCTTTTTTGCCGGGTTCCCCGACTATTTGAAATTAATCGTACTATTGATTGGCAAGAAGGTCTCGGCGTTTTACTCTTGAACTATCTATCCCTGTGTGCGTATCTATCTATCTATCTATCTATCTATCTATCTATCTATCTATATATATCAACCGCCACTTCTACTCTGTATCTTTAGTTGCACTTCCCACCTGAGGAATTCCATTCCGATTTCTTGCTTTCATGATAGTTACAATCATCAGTAATTTAAACGCAACGCCAATCACCATTTTCCATCTTCCTGAAAACTGTTCTTTAGTGTACTTTCTCCTCATTAAAGTCTTCTCATCCTCTTTCACTCCCAGTAACCCCTTGCGTCTTAGTGACCTTATCGCCATCTTCTGTCTTCCTGAAACCTGTTCTTTTATTGTCCTTTCTACTCACCAAAGTCTTCTCAATCTCTTTCGCTCCCATTAACCCCTTGTGTCTTAGTGGCATTATCGCCATCTTCTGTCTTTTTGAAACATGTTCTTTTATTGTCCTTTCTCGTCACTAAAATCTTCTCATTCTCTTTCACTCCCAGTAACCCCTTGCGTCTTAGTGGCATTAACCCCATGTTTACAGCAAAATCTTCTAAAAATAAATAAATTCATTAATATAATACATTACGTGTATTTCATTGCTTTCTTCGAATATTTTGATTCTTAAACCAATCTTACTAAATGGGAGTTTATTAACTGAGCTTATCAATTGAGTTTGTATGTAAAAATAACTTTTCTTTATAATACAAAGCGTTGAAGCGTGTCTGGACAGTAAGGTTTAGGGTTTATTTTACTGTATATCAATCTCAATGAGTTATTTAATGCCGACATTAGACAGTAAGTAATTAAGACATTGAAAAATATCGTGAAAGGTGCAATATATACAACAATAGTTAAAATGAAAATATTTATGCTTTGGGCTTAAGAGAAACCCCATGATTTTTGCAATGATAAACTGATCTAAATAATTTGACAAAAGAATCTAAATAGTTTTAAAGAAGTATATATATATATATATATATGTGTGTGTGTGTGTGTGTGTGTGTGTGTGTGTGTGTGTGTGTGTGTGTGTGTGTGTGTGTGCCTTTAATATATCTTTGACGTTGATCTTGTTTAGAAAAAATGAAAAGAAAAAGATCAGATTTGATGATAAATACAATGAAAAATAAAAATGAAAATGTCACCTGGGGCTCGGAGCAACCCCATTATTTCCACCATGACAATAAAAAAAAAAAAAAAATTGATTATACAATTGTGAGAAAGGAATCAATTTTGCTACTGATAATGACAAGGATATATAATTTACAATCTCTTTTCTTTAGAAGGGCTCCCGGTTTATTATTTGAAAATATTCCAGAATAGAAAGGGTTGAATCTGTATCTTTTTGTTTTCTTCATTCAAACATTACTTTTTGTAACACGTATAAAGGTTATTCTTTTGTATCCTGTCCGGAATTTCAGATCTATTAATTCTATCGAATAAAATAATAAACCCTCCCCTAAAAAAATAAATAAATAAACCAGGAAAGGGAGACATTATTAAGATAATATTTTGAAAAAAAAAAAAAAGAAAGAAAAAAGGGTGAATAATAAAATTAATATTCCGTGTCGTATATTATCTGAGAATAAATTTAGCTGCCTTCGATAATCCAACATGTCATAAAAATCCCCCTTTTTTTTCAAAAATTAGCTCCACGTCTTATCGATTTTGGAAAATGCTTGGCATTGCAGTAGCAAGTAATATGAGAATGTCAATAAAGCTTTTCTAATTTTTTTCTGCCTGTAACCTTTTTATAAACTTTATTGTCATATAGGAAGAAAATGAGTAAACACCGACACCGAGGTTCGAACGTGAAACTTTTACATATGGATATATATATTTTCCGCCAGGTGTATAAATAGCGATGTCAGGCTACTTAATGTGAATATAAAATGGGGGACCAATTCTATATTAAAATCAATATATAAAATGATCCCTCACTTTGTGGCCACACGATTTTCTCTACATTTACATTCCAGAGACTCTAAATAAATCTAAAAGACATACATGTATAGCTAATCAATATTTGATTGATTGATTGATTTGTTTTCTACGGCTTATCAATAAACAAGAAATTATAATATGGGGGATTAATTTTGCATTACAATCAATATATAAACTGATCCCTTACTTTATGACCACGGTAGTTCCTATACATTCTTATTCCAGAGATTGTAAATAAATCTAAAAGGGCTTATACCTATACGTATTAGAAGTCCTTAGACCGAAAAATTCACCTTATGCCTGTGTAGATAATCAATATTTCATTGATTGATTTGTTTTCTACGGCTTATCAACTCAAAGCAGATTTAAAACACAGAAAACATTTTTTAGAGCATTATAGTTTAGTGATACAAGATTTACTGATTAACCCATAGTTGGGAGGAGAAGAGGTGGATTCATAGCTAATCAGAATTTGATAAACAGACAAGAAATTACAGGGTAGGGTATTGAGTCGGAGACTATTGTCTAGGAGACGAGAAACGAAAAATGAAGTTCTTTGGAAGTTTTGATTTCGTTGGAAGGTTATTTGGGATTTGTCTACAGATAATGAAGTCAGGAAAACAAGAGATTTGTGGTTGGTCGATAGAAGAAGAAGAAAAAGAAAAACACTAAAGGAAGAGGAAAAAACAATGGAAAGAGGATAAAAAGAGAAGAAAAAAAACAGATAGAAGAAAAATGAATGAGAAGAAAAAAACAGAAAAAAAGAAAGAGAAGGAAAAGAAAAAAGGGAAACGAGAAGAAAAAGAAAAATTAAAAATAAAGAGAAAAAAAACGGGTAATATTGGGTTGGTGCATATTTATCAGACGTTTTTGTAGGCGAGTTATTGATAAAAAATTCTTTTTCGTTTACTTTTTTAAATAAAAATATTTCATTTTCAGGTTATAAAAATGCGTGTCGATAATCATACGCTCCGGAGTGATCATTTAAAAATATTATTGATGAATTGTTTCTTTTTCATAATAAGTATTGTTTAAAAACTCCTGATAATTATGCACCAACCCAATATATATATATATATATATATATATATATATATATATATATATATATATATAAAATAAAAACAGACCACTTTAAGGTTCCATGTAATAAATTATTTCACCACAGGCCTTTTAAAGGACTGCGGATCATCAGACTTTACTTCAATATACATCAGACTTACACACACACACATATATATATATACATATATATATATATATATATATATATATATATATATATATATATATATATATATATATATATATATATATCAGACTTATATATATATATATATACATATATAGACTTTTTACTTCCAAACCTATATATATATATATATCGGCCTATTTATAACACAAATCTATCTATCTATCTATCTTTCTATCTATCTATCTATCTATCTATCTATCTATCTGTCTGTTCACATCTATCTATCTATCTATCTATCTATCTATCTATCTATCTATCTATCTATCTCAATGCGTTCTTATCTATCTATTGTATTAATGGATTATATATATATATATAAATGGAAACGAAATAAAACGGAGGAGAAAAGAGAAAAAGAAAGAAAGAAAACGATAAGAAAAATAAAACAGTAAATAAAGAGGGAGAAATAAATTAAGAAATAAAGAAAGAAAGAAGAAGTTAAGAGTTGAAAGGAAGAAAAGAAAGGAAGAGAGAGAAAAAAAGGAAAAAAAAGAGGCGGTAAAAGAAAGAAGGTAAAAAGACGAGAAGGAAGGAAAGAGAAGAGGTGAAGAAATGAGAAAAAGAAAAAAAAAGAAAAGAAAAAAGAAATAGAAGAAAAAGAAAGAGGGGGAAAACAGAAGAAAACAAAGAGAAGCAAAAAAGAAGAAAAAAAAAAGTTTGGATTTGAAAGAGTGTAGTCATATGTAGATTAACTAATTAACATATCCGGAATACCCAGGACAAATAATGACTCCGATTTGGAGGAGGAGGAGGAGGAGGGAGTACACATGATCACGAAGGACGCAGGATAGTGTTTCCAAAACAGTGTGGCGCGACTCATAGGAACAACGGAAGAGGATAGCAGGTGAGGCGGAATGATTGAAAGACAATCAAAGATTTAGAAACAGTTTCTAAAACTTCATAATCCAAAAATAAATATGATTTCAAAATTTAAAATATTATTATGGCTTACTTGTAATTGCAGGCATGAGTCCCGTATAAATAGTTATTGATGTAATGGAATAACCAGTCACCCCCATGAATGATTAAACTATAGGTATTAAGTACCTATAAAGTCAACTGTCTACGAGAGACCCGAGGAAGAGTGGGAGAGAGAAGACGCAAGCACGTCCGACCTTCCAACTAGTGCCACTCATTACTAGATTAACTTGTGTGTATAACTGTACCGTATTTCATATTATACTGGTTGTGTACAATAAACCTTTTTTCTATCATCCTGGTGTTAAGTATTTATTCCCTTAGCATAGAATATAACAGTTATACATAATTATTGGCTGATTTTATCATTGTGATATTTTTGCATTATATCAATTATTAAGAATATAGTAACTAGGGTCCGCAAATTGGAAGAGAGAGTTATCAATAATAATGTTTTGACGTCGAATTCGCGGTTATCTCACTTTAACCTGCTCTCTGGACCTTCTTTGCCATATGGCTACTTTCGCCTTTTCACTGGGACTGCCTTTTTGTGAGGCACAGGCAAATTTTTTTTACCCTCAAAGTTACCCATCATAAATTAAGTTTGCTAAATATCTACGTCACCTGTTTTGTAATTCGTAGAGCAAATTAAAATCTTTTTTTTAATCCAGTGCTTCCCAAACGGCAGACCTCATATGTGCAACAGAAGAGGATAGCAGGTGAGGCGGTATGATTGAAAAACAATCAAAGATTTAGAAACAGTTTCTAAAAATTCATAATCCAAAAATAAATATAATTTCAAAATTTAAAATATTATTATGGCTTATTTGTAATTGAAGGCATGAGTCCCGGTATAAATAGTTATAAATAATTATTGACTGATTTTATCATTGTGATATTGTGATATGGTGTGGTGAACAGTGAAATATATTTTGAACAGTTGCCAGGGAAAAAGATGGTCCAAAGATTGGATATATACAAATTTATGTGGTACTGGCTTTTTTATGGAAATATGAAATTCGCTATTCGTGAAGAATTTCAGAAACGGATTTTGATTATTCCTTACAATGGACGGGGGCAAATAACTCCTTCGGAAATATTTTGGCACAGTCCTTCAGAACGCACCTTCCACTAACCTTCTGGATAGTTACTGATGTCCACTAACTGTTATTGCTCTTTCCAGTACTAATACAAATTTAATTCCAAACATTTTGGTTTTGGTAGTGCAGTTGATTCTATGTTTTATTTTCTAATCTAGTTACATGTGTTACTAGGTCCTTGGTATGATAATAAGCTACATTCTGTAGCAAGACCTCCGAGGAATAGTTATAAATAAGTATTGAATGATATTATCATTGTGATATTTTTGCTTTATATCAAGTATTAAGAATATAGTGTCCGCAAATTGAAGGAGAGAGTTATCAATGACAATATTCTGACTTCGAGTCTGCGGTTATCTCCCTTTAACCATGTCTCTGGTCCTTATTTACCATAGAACTACTTAAGTCTTTTCACCGGGACTTCCCTTTCGTGAGGCGAGGGAACTTTTTTTTTATCTTAGAAACTTTCCATCGTAAATTAAGCTGGCTAAATACCTACCTCACCTGTTTTGTAATTCATAAAGCAAATAAAAAATGTATTTCTTTAATTCAGTGCTTCCCAAACGGTGCGTCGAACCTCATAGGGGTAAAAGAAGAGGATAGCAGGTGAGGCGGAATGATTAAAAAACAATCAAAGATTTAGAAACAGTTTTAAAAAATTCATATGCCTAAAATAAATATGATTTGAAAATTTAAAATATTATTATGGATTACTTGTAATTGCATGCATGACTCCCAGTATAAATAGTTATAAATAATTATTAACCGATTTTATCATTGTGATAGTTTTGCTTTATATCAAGTATTAAGAATATAGTAATAGGGTTTGCAAATTGGAGGAGAGAGTTATCAATGATAATATTCTGACTTCGGATCTTCGGCTATCTCCCTTTAAGGCTTTCTCTTTTTTTCTATTATTAAATGTACTTTTTATCGCATAAAATTTGGTGAGACGCGAGCATATTTTCAAATTCGAAAATGCGGTCAAGAAACAAAAATTATTTGCAAACCGCTTACTTAAGACCTCACAAAATATTTCATCAGAGAATTCCGGTTACGTGGACGCATGTATAAAAACGTTCGCAGATACAGTGGGGACTAAGAATTTGAGAAACAGCTAAGAAACGGGATGGGAAAATTAAATAAACAATCTTTTTTGGCCACAGCTGGGGGTCGAAACCATTATGAAATTTTCAACTATACCTCACCAAATGCAGCTGGAAAATTTGACTTTCGAAATAAGTCAGGCGGTACAAAGAAAATAAGGAGACGCTCCCAGAGAAGCCATTTTTTTAATGCAAAAAGACACAACACCGCTGTAATAAGAAAAAAAAAATGGGAGTAGCATAGCAGCCCAAGTTGATGAAAGAAAACCACGAGACGAATACAAAGAGGAAAGTGACGAAGAAATGTCTACGGATACCTCAGATAATGAGAATGCTGAACAAAAAACGAAACCTACCCTTGCAGAATCAAATGCCAGACGAGGAAATGTCCGCAGATAACTGAAATATTGATAGTGCTGAACAAAATCCAAAACTTAACCTTTGCCAGATGAAATGCCAGACGTAGAAATATCCACACATAACTCAAGTATTGATAGCACTGAATAAAAACGAAACCTACCTTTGAAGGATGAAATGCCAGACGAAAAAATGTTCACAGGTAATTCAAGTATTGATTGTGCTGAACAAATACGAAAACTATCCTTGCAGGTGAAAAGTCTAACGAAGAAATGTCTACGGATCCTTCAAATAATGAAAATGCTGAACAAAAACGAAACCTGTATTTGCAATATGAAATGTTTGAAGACGAATATAGCGGTGTTCAAGAGGGTTAATATGATTCTGAAACTAAGGAAGACCGGTCAATGCACGAATAGTGCCATGAAAACGAGAGAAAACGAGACATATCAGAGAAAGAAATACCTTATGATCCCGGGATAGAGAAAGGAACCCTGAAAAAAAGAAATAATAGAAGAAGCACAAGAAAAACAAAGGGCATAAAAAACCATCGGTATAGATATAGTGATATGTATATGAACCAATTAACATAATTGGAATACATAGTCATGATAAAGACTCCGATTAGGAGTAGGAGAACTACTACATATGAGAATTGAGTAGTAACACGAAGGCTTTCATAACACATAAGTTGAGAGTTGATATCTAATTAATGTCTTCTACTGCGTTGCGTCGCTAATAGTGGAAACATAATTATCATTTGACTTGTATTCGGTAGTAAATAAAATGCTTTAAATTGTACTTGTATGAATTCGCTGCATGATGACATCTTGTAGGTTTTATTTGGATATTTATATAATAAAAATGCTGAACCTACAAAACCTACAATTGCAGTATGAAATGACTGAAGATGAATATAGCGGTTATCAATAGGGTCAATATGATTTGGAAAGTGAGGAAGACCGGTCAATGTACGAATAGGGTCATGATAACGAGAGAAAACGAGACAGATCAGAGAAAGAAATAACTTATGATCCCAAGAGAGAGAAAGGAACCCTGGAAACAAAATAATAAAAAGACAAAGGGAACAGGGAGATGTAGATGAATCAGCTAACATAACCGAAATACCTAGTCAAGGAGGAGAAGTACTACACATAAACATTGAGTAGTAACACGAAGGACTTCATAATACAAGCCCATGCAGATTAAATTAGACCATGAGACCATTACGGAGAGAAAAATGTCCAGGAAATGTCCCTGGTTAGCTCAGGTAATGAAGTGCTGAACAAAAACAAAACCTACCCTTTCAGTATACGTTGTCTGACGAAAAAATGTGTACGGATATCTCAAGTAAACATAGTGCTGAAAAAAACTAAATCTACCCTTGCAGGAGGAAGAAATGTCTGACGAAGAAGTGTCCAGGGATATCTCAAATAATGATACTGCTGAACAAAAACGAAACCTACCCTTGCAGGCTGAAATGTCTGACTAA